TGCACAGAAGAAATAATGAAAGGACTTAAATACAAAAGTATTAAATGTTTGCATGAACTCAAAGAAAATAATTATAAAATGTGTGTGCTGCATCTGTAACCAAAACTATGCAACATCTATTTGGCACTTAAGAAGAAAGTAAAAGCATTTGCAGAAAGTGAAACACAAACAAAAACTAAACTTGTTAGCTTTCCAAATGAGCTGTGAGCCAAATAAGTAAATGGGATCCAAAACAATTCTGACAGTTTCAGATGCTGGACACAGTTCAGACATTCCCTCCATCCACCAGGTGTAGACCATATTTACTCAAATCCAAGGGAGGATTTTCCTCCCCCCAGAAAACCTTGTCTTGGGTGGCTACTCCAGCTCTGGCTCCAGGGGGAAGAAGAGCAGGCAGTGAGGGAGGCAAGTGGCTGGGGGAAGAGGGGCAGGTGGCAGCAGAAAACATGACAAGAGGAAGTAGTGGGGGGCTACTGGCAGGGAGACAGGCACCCGAACAGGGATGGGCAAAATGCATCCCGGGGACCGAATGCGGCTCACCAAGCCATTCTATCTGGCCTGCAGGGCCCCTAAAAAATTCAGAAAATTAATATTTATCTGCTCATGGCTGCTTATCATGTGGCCCTCGATGGCTTGCCAAAACTCAGTAAGCGGTCCTCACCCAAAATAACTGCCCGTCCCTGCACCAGAAGGTACAAGCGGTGGGGTGGTAAGCAGTGGCAAGGTGCGAGTCAGGCCACCTTTCCCCTAACACAGCGGGGGGAGGGGGGAGAGGGACGACAACCCAAATTTAAGCCGATCCTCCAATAAATAATTAGATGCTATCCACGGAAAACGATAACAAGTTTATGACTTTCCATGTATAAAATCTAATTATTGGGAGGTCATTTTAAATTCAGTGTCATGTTGAATTCAGATGAAAACAGTAATTTCCAACCTTTTCAACTGTGTAATGATTTAAAAGAAGTATAATAATTTTCAACTGTATAATGATTTAAAAGAAGTATAATACCTGTCAAACCATAGGCTTTCAGGTTGCCCTTATCTAATCACCTGACTGGGGGTGGAGTCTGGTCAGTCCCCAGTATGTCTGAAACTCTCACAGTCAGGTCTGTCTGTTTACACCCAAGCAACCTGGCCAGTGTCTCAAAGGGCTCTTTCAAATTTACCTGGTGCAAACCTCCCCCCCATCCATCTTCCCCCTTACAAGTTACTGCGCCTTGTTTAAAAACAGAGAAGCAAGGAGCACATTTCTGGTAATATCTTTTCTTGGACCAACCACATAGTTGGGAGAGTTGGCAGAGCAGAGCAACAGCTCGCTGGGGACCAGGTCTTTCCACAAGGTGCGGGCAACCCTGGCACGGGAACTAAGCTGGGAGAGATGCTAGATGAGCTCTGAGCAGCAGTGCCCTTCCCCCGGCCTGGGAAGGAATCAGCTCCAGACTCGGGCGAATTGCAGATAAAACAAGGGCTGGTGCCCAACCCGGGCCAGGTGCGAGGAGGCAGTCCCTGCTTGAGAGGTAGGAGGGCAGCCAGCCAGGAGCCGTGCTTGAGGGGAGGGGGGGCAGCCAGCCAGGAGCCGAGAAGCAGTTGGCAGCTGCCCAGGGCAGGGAGCAGTCACCTGGGTCCACCCCGTGCAGCCTTCCCCCGTCTTCGCCTGCCCCCGCCAGGGACCCCCCGAGCCCCTTCAGAGGCCAGCAACGAAACCTCGCGGCTCTGCTGGGCCGGGCTCCTCGGGCCCCGCACGCACTTCTGCTGCTTGCCCGGGCTCCGGCTC